AACTTTCCACCAGTGTTTTATTCTAGAAGTTTTATAGTTTTAGTTCTTATATTTAGGCCTATGATTCATTTTGAGTTAACTTTTGTATGTGGCATGAGATAAAGGCTGAGGTTTTTTGTGTTTGCATGTGGCTGTCCAATTGTTTTCCATTTGTTGGAAAGATTATTTTTTCCATTGAATTATCTTGACATTTTTGTTGAAAAGCAATTGGTAAGATATGTAGGGATCTATATCTGGATTCTGTTCTGTTCTATTGATGTATTTGTCCATCTTTATGTCAATACCACAGTATCTGAAAATTGTAGCTTTATAAGAAGCCCTGAACTCAGGTAGTGTAAATCTTCTAATATTGTCTTTCTAAAATTTGTTTTTGCTATACTAGATCTTTTGCATTTTCTCATTAATTTTAGAATCAGCTATTCAATTCCTATGAAAAAGCATGCTTGGATTTTTATTGGGTTTGTACTGAATGTATAAATCAATTTGGAAAGCATTGACATCTTAACAGTATTTACTCTTTTAATTCATGGACACAGTATATCTCTCCATTTATGTAGGTTTTCATTTTCACTCAGAAGTATTTTGTTGTTTTGAAGGTACATGCTTTGTTAAATTTTTCTTTAAGTATTTATTTATTTATTTTAATCCTCACCCGAGGATATTTTTCCATTGATTTTTAGAGAGAGTAGAAGAGAGGGAAAGACAGAGAGAAACATCGATGTGAGAGAAACACATCGATTGGTTGCCTCCTGCACACACTCAGACTAGGGCTTGGGCTGGGGAGGAGCCTGCAACCACAGGAGCACCGTCACAGCTGTTCCTGAGTTCTGTCTGCTCTATGCATTCCAATCTGCTACCTCAGATGTACAGAGATACGTACCCTTGACTGGAATCAGACCCGGGACCCTTCGGTCTGCAGGCCAATGTTCTATCCACTGAGCCAAACCGCTAGGGCTGAGTATTTACTTTTTTGATAATATTGTTCTTGTAAATGGTCCAACCTAGTTCCTGACACAAATAGGGTGGACACTGGGCAAATGTTTGTTGGAAGAACAGGTGAATGAATGAATAAAATGTGTAAGTGGAAAGTGAGTCATGGCTGCTCATTTCGAAGACTTTTTTCTTAGCATTCTACAACATGGGTATAAGAATGGAGAAAGCAGATGGGTGAGGAATGCAGCAAAAAACATTGGTGGGAAAATGAGTGCTTGTTTTTGAACCTTAGAAAAAGGCTGGACAGAAAAATAAGACAGGGACAGAAGATGATACTCAAAGCAAATGGCATCCAAAAGAAAGCAGGTGTAGCCATACTTGGGAAAAATAGACCTCAAGCCAAAAGAGGTAACAAGAAGGCAAAGATGGACATTATGTAACGATAAGGAGGGCATCAAGGAGACATAACATTTATTAATATACTAGAGGCCCGGTGCACAAAAATTTGTGCACTTGGCGGGGAGTCCCTCAGCCCGGCCTGTGCCCTCTTGCAGTCTGGGACCCCTCAGGGGATGTCCACCTGCTGGCTTAGGCCTGCTCCCCAGGGGATCGGGCCTAAGCTGGCAGTCAGACATCCCTCTTGCAGTCTGGGACCCCTCAGGGGTTGACCACCTTCTGGCTTAGGCCTGCTCCCTGGGGGATTGGGCCTAAGCTGGCAATCAGACATCCTCTGGCAGCCGGCAGCCTCGGGGGATGTCCACTTGCCAGCGGGGAGCAGGCCTAAGCTGCAGTCGGACATCCTTAGCGCTGCTGAGGAGGCGGGAGAGGCTCCTCCCATCACCACTGTGCTGGCAGCCTGGCTTGTGGCTGAGCAGAGCTCCCCCTGTGGGAGCGCACTGACCACCAGGGGGCAGCTCCTGCATTGAGCGTCTGCCCCCTGGTGGTCAGTGTGTGTCATAGTGACCAGTCATTCCCAATCGTTATGCTGTTAGGGTCAATTTGCATATTACCCTTTTATTATATAGGATAGAGGCCTGGTGCATGGGTGGGGGCCAGCTGGTTTGACCTGAAGGGTGTCCTGGATCAGGGTGAGTGTCCCGCTGGGGTGCCTGGCCAGCCTGGGTGAGGGGCTGAGGGCCGTTTTCAGGCTGTCCACACCCCCTTCAGGGTGAGGGTCCCCACTGGGGTGCCTGGCCAGCCTGGGTGAGGGGCTGATGGCTGTTTTCAGGCTGGCCATGGACCCCAGCCACCCAAGCTCCCAGTGGAGGCTGGCTGGAAGCACGTATCTGGGATTTATTTATCTTCTATAATTGAAACTTTGTAGCCTTGAGCAGAACTCAGGGCCGGCAGGGCAGGCGGGAAGCTTGGCTTCCTCCATTGCCGGGGGCAACCCAAGCCCCCTGCTCACTCCAGCTCTGTGGCCGCCGCCGTCTTAGTTGGGTTAATTTGCATATTCACTCCTGATTGGCTGGTGGGTGTGGCTAGTGGGCATGGCTGGTGGGTGTAGCCACAGTGCGGTCAATTTGCATGTTTCTCTTTTATTAGATTAGATATGCACCCAACTCAGGATCACCAAAATATATAAAGCAACTATTAACAGGCTTAAAGGGAGAAATTGATAGCACTACAATAATAGTAAGAGACTTCAACACCCCATTTACACCATTGGATAGAGACTTCAGACATAAAGTCAACAAGGAGGCCCTGGTCGGGTAGCTCAGTTGGTTAGAGCATCATCTCCATATGCCAAGGTTGTGGGTTCAATCCCCAGTGAGGGCACATAGAAGAATCAACCAATGAATGCATAAATAAGTGGTGATTTGAGGCCTTTCCCCCCCAGGATGTGGTGCTATAGAACAAGTTTTTGCTATAGTAGCTGAGTTCTCCATCGCTGCTACTGTGCTCACTAGAGCTGAGCTGTCTATTTGAGAGCCAGCATTTCCCACCTCCCTCACCTCTGCCAGAGGTGTCCTAGATGTCCTCTTTATTGCTGCTTGTGCCTCTGGAGTCACTGGTGCCTTGCTGCAGGCATTGTTGCTGTAGTTGCATGGGTGTCGCTGCCAGGATCACAGGGATGGTGTGTGCCCCCATTGCTTCTGGGGTCATTTGGGTATCGGCAATACCTTGTGCAAGGATGGAAGGGGTTGGGGGGTGGCTGGGGTGCTGCCTGGTTCTCTGTTGCCTTTGACTTTTCTGTGGCCAGGAGGTCAGAGACTCCTGTGCTGCCTCGGCTGCTGCTACTGAGCTCTCCAGTGAGGCAGCACCGCTGCAGCCAAGGGCTGGAGCCAGAGTCCCAGGGGCTGATGCCATCGCCACTGCTGCTCTCCTTTTCCTCCCTTTTCCCCGACCCCCTTCCAGGCCATGGTGCGGTTGGAGTTGCAGCTTGGTTTCCATCACTGCTACTGTGCTCACTAGGGCTGTGGGCTTAGCTGCCACCCAGGAGCCAGGGGCAGGAGCACCATCCCTGCTGTTCCTGAGTTCTGCCTGCCCTATGCATTCCAATCTGCCACCTCAGATGTGCAGTGTGTGGATCTCTCAGACATCTAATGCCTTGAGCAGAGGAATCTTTCCTGAGTTATTCATGTCCCACTAGTTATAGACTGAAGAGGAGAGACAAAGGGAGCATCTCACTTACCATGATGCTGACATCATTCTTCCCAATATATTTTTACTTCTGTGGGTGACCATAAAGCTTGTGATCTGGAGTCTGTGTGTTTTAAACCTCTCTGAGCCTCCAGAATGCCTCCTCTCTCCAACCCATGATGCTGACTATAGAAATGATGCCCTCTGGGCTTCTATCCCACCCCATGATACACACCATCACATGATAGTGGTATATGATCATGCCTTGTGTTCATTGACTAGGTTACCAATATTTAAAAGATAAGCTCTTTCCTTTTTCCTTTGTTTTCTTCGAATACCTTGCACACTTAAGTGGTCATTAAATATTTTCCTTAGGAGATGATGTATTCATGTTATTGAGTAAAGAAAATGTATGCAAGGTATGTACTACAGTGACTGGCACATAATAGGTATTTAGTAAATTATGTGAAGAGTACTCAGTCAGTATGGGGAATATTGCTTATTTTCTCACTTTTAAATTGATCCCTACCCCCTCTCCCATTTCACATATTTTGTCCTTTGGCTGATTTAGAAGCCTATTAATTTTTCATTTTGAAATAATTTTTGACTTACAAAGAAGTCACCAAAGTAATACCAAGAACTCCTACACGTTAACGGATATGTCCTCATGCATTATATCAAGGAGGCATACAATGTCCTTCACTGGTGATGGTTAGGTGATACCTGCCAGATTTCTTTACTATAAAGTTACAGTTTTTTTCCTTGAAATAATATCTGGTGGGGAAATACCTGGAGTGTATATAAGTATCTTTTTTCTCATCAATTTTTTACTCAGTAACTTTAGCATCCATTGATTCTTTCCTGAAACAGTTATCATGGAGTTTGCCAAATGGTAATTTTTAAAAATTTCCATCATTTTTCTACACCTAATTAGTTGGTGTTTGACTCTAAGGAAGTGCTTTCCCTTCTCCTTCATGTAGCTATTCATTTGTTAATTTATACCAGTGTAGATTTATGGCATTTTATTTTATTTGAGTTATGATCATCAGAATCATCATTTGTTTTATTTATTAAATTTTCCCCTTAAACTGTGCATATGGTAAAATTCTATGGGTGGCAGAGAGTGTGAGGAAAGAAGGCTTTGAGCACTTCCATTCCAGTTATCAATACGCCAAACAGCAGGGCCAAAGGATAAGGTATACACTAGCATAACGAGGACCATCGTGAAATATTGTTCCTCTCTGTTTCAGGAAATAAGAAGGGTCAGTTGGAAGTAGTTTAGTTATTAAGGTCACTATAACTTCTCTTAACTTCTAACGGCTGGAGATGTTTGTTGTTTTGGGGTAGGTGGTGAAGTGCATATATTGAAAATAAATGGAAGATGAGATTTCAGTGTCACTGCCTGGGCACAAGATGGCAGCAGTCAGCCGTTGATTTTGCAGCACAAGACTTGGCCTGACAGTTAAGGTGTCTTGTTTTTGCAGGGACTTCAGTACTGGCACTAACAACATTCAGATTGACAAAACCAAGCCTCTGTGGCACAACTATTTCCTATGTGGATTTAAAGGAATTCAGGTAAATTGGTTTGTAAGGCACCTACTAACATTTGAGACTGTGATGTCTATTGTATCAAGATTTATTTTATTTACTCTATCATGTTTGTCTCCTTTTAATACTAACTGATCTTTCTGTTCTATTTTGCTAATTTATGTATTTCAGGGGACGGGGTAGATATGACTTTTTCTGAGTGGTGTTCATAGGGGCAGTAGTGGCTGTTCACAAGTCAGGTACATCTGACATCTTTCTGGTTTTTAAATTTCCCCTCTAAATTTTCTTTTGAAGGATACATTCTAGTAATATTATTCACATTTTGTTCCAGCTGCATTAATTTAACCTCTTAAGTCTCAGATCTGTTATCTATAAAATGATGTCACTGCTATCTATCTCAACAGGGTGGTTGCAAGGATTACACCAGCGGTTCTCAACCTGTGGATCACGACCCCTTTGGCGGTCGAACGACCCTTTCACAGGGGTCGCCTAAGACCATCCTGCATATCAGATATTTACATTACGATTCATAACAGTAGCAACATTACAGTTATGAAGTAGCAACAAAAATAATTTTATGGTTGGGTCACAACATGAGGAACTGTATTTAAAGGGCCAGAAGGTTGAGAACCACTGGATTACGCAATGCTTGATGTGTAGTAGACATTCAATAAATGGTAACTAATATTATTATCAGGTGGGCTTACAAAAAATGTAGTGAAATTTATTGGCTCAGTGGATAGAGCATCAGCCTGCGGACTGAAAGGTCCTGGGTTCGATTCCAGTCCAGGGCACATGCCTGGGTTGCAGGCTCAATCCCCAGTGGGGGGTGTGCAGGAGGCAGAGCCGATCAATGATTCTCTCATCATTGATGTTTCTATCTCTCTCTTCTCCTCCCTTCCTCTCTGATTAAAAAAATAATAAAAATTTAAAAAAGAATAAGTATTTTCCTAGAAACTTTGAATAATTACTTTGAACATCTCTAATGTCATGTACAAGAACGAGAAAATAAAATATTTCCTTTCTCCTAATTAAAAAAGTGTAAAGGACAAAAAGAAAATTGATTTGCTAAATCAATTTAATTTGTTATTAAAATCCATGTTTTAGAGAGCTTGTGTTCCTTACTGTCTGGCAGTCTGATCTGAAACTTTGTCATGAGTGGCCTAATGCTCAGTGGCCTATCTGTTAGAGAAATATGTCGCATTTATTTCTTATGTGTAGTCTTTAATTATGGAGGTTCTGGTCCTTTGTTCCTTCCTTCCTTCCTTCCTTCCTTCCTTCCTTCCTTCCTTCCTTCCCCCAGATACATGGTAAAAATTTATGGGAAAAGTTATTGGAAGGTTTTAAATCTTCAAATGATTTGACTTGTCATATGTGTTATTGGGAATTACAGTATTTGGAAGCTTTTACCTGGCAAATGCAATTTGATCTTCCTTATAGCAGCATGCCTTTTGTAGCATATGGGTAAGGTAACCTAAATAATGCATGTTGTTTTGTGTTGCTTTTGAGAATTCCAGGTCCTAAAGCCATCCCTTTTGGTTTAATAACTTATGTGCAAAAGCAGGTTTGTGCAATGAATTTTTGACAGAAAAGTAATTTCAAGTTAGCCTGTTCAGAGACCTTCCAATTCAAATACTAGAAAGGTCCAGAGGATAATCTGTTTATATTAAATCGAACATGTTATCCTTTTGGGACAGAGCTATTACAGAATTTGGCAAAAGCCATTTGCATTTCTGAATCTGTTATAAGTTTTAATTTAAACATTGCATGATAAGTTTGTAAGTATGATTCACATTCATGACACCTTGTGAATCAGTTTATGGTTAAATATATAGCATTCAACAAGGATTTTTTAAAAAACAAGCTGTCTTGATGTTCTGTATAAAAGGGCATTGGCAGCAGCAGTGTTTCAGTTTATAATCTGTATTTCTGGAAAGGAAATTTTTAGATGACTTGAAATCAAGAAGAGAAGTATACATCCAACTGAATCTCTTCTTTTGTGGTGCATGAATTTTGCCGGTTTAGGAAAAAAAGGACAAAAAATCAAACCAGTCTTCTTTTTTTTTTGGTAGAGTTTTGTTGTTACTTTGGTTATTCTAACAGTTTATTGAAATTTCTCCATAGAATAATATGTATGATGAAATGCATACTTACGTAATATGATAGTATTTTGTACTTTGGTCTTGAGCCATTTGAGTAATTTGCAAACAGTGGTACTTTTCTTGATGAGGAAGTGGCCTTGAATTTATTTATTTACTTTTAAAAAATATTTTTATTGATTTCAGAGAGGAAGGGAGAGGGAGAGAGAGATAGAAACATCAATGATGAGAGAGAATCACTGATCGACTTACTCCTGCATGCCCCACACTGGGGGTCAAGCTCACAACCTGGGCATGTGCCCCGACCGGGAATTGAACCATGACCTCCTGGTTAATAGGTCGACGCTCAACCACTGAGCAATGCTGGCTGAGCTTGAATTTATTTTTAATCTTAAACCACAAAGGTTATATGTGATAGCATCCCAAGTGTCATCCTACATATTCATCTAAGTAACCTAGAGCTTTCCATCTTCCGATCAGAGAAATAGAGTTTCCCTGCTTTGTTTAGAGTTTGTACTCTTATTTGTGGCTGAATTCTAATTTAGCTGTCTTGAAAGCTACCATATGGCTAAATTGTATCTATAAACTCTAGTAAAAATCTGGATTTCCTCATATAGCTGACTTACATTAAATCACAGTGACATGTGCAGGCTCAGATTTCTGATTGCAATGGAGACGTTCTCATCCAGAAACTGGAGACCTGGGTCCTACTCCTAGTTTCCTACCCATGATCTTGGGAAAGTCTCTTAATATTTTGGAGCCTATGTTTTCCATAGGAAAACGGAACTGAAAGTTTGGAGCCCTTTTCCTTCAGAGGCCCTTCTGAAGAAAGACACTCCATAGAAATAAGCTACTGCTTGATGTTAGAATTTTACAATCTCAGAGTGTTGGGATGTACTACATAGCGATTTAATCTATCTTGCTAATAATTGTGCATTTCATTTCTTGCTACTTGAGAAGTTTAATTATAACTGTTCAATATTTTTCCATATTTGTTCAAATCAATTAATGTCCAAGAAAGAGACAATTTAAGGCTATTTTAGGAAATGGATCAGTAGCATTTTGTTGAACAGAGTAAAAAGTAATCCTCATCTTACCATACCCTTACATAAAATGTCATAGATGCAACTGAATTGCACAAGTAGTTTCTATAAATAGCATAATAAGTCCATTGATAGACTTTTGCTCCCTGCGGAGTAAAATAACACTTTGCTACTCCTTGAATCCAACACCAAAGTGACTAATGCTGTCTTTTCTTCTATCCTTAGGAACACTTTGGTCTTAGTGACCTGGCGGGGATGAATTGCCTGGTGGATGGGACCATCCCTCCAAGTTCTGGCCTCTCCAGCTCCAGTGCGTTGGTCTGTTGTGCTGGCTTAGTGACACTCACAGTTCTGGGAATGAACCTATCCAAGGTAACCTCACAGAAACCTCTTTTTCTAAAGATATTAGTATCCGAATCTGAACATTAGAATGTCTTCCTTTGATTGGAAAACTTTGTCTTACTTAACAGACTATACATGCACGAATTGTAACTTAACAAGTCCTGCTTGTGATAAACCACTCTAAGGTAGCTGACACCTTCCAAGCAGTGAGTATATCTGTGAATAACTATATTGAAATGCTCTTAATCTACAGTGTGGAGTTTGAATGCATGGATATCTTTTAGATCACCTCATTAACAAGTTTAGAACAAGAAATTCTAGGCCTCATGGTTGGACCTGCTTATTTTCACCCGAAACTTTAAATATTTGACAAGCAGTGGGTAAAACCAGGCAATAAAGGAACTGAACAGCATATCTGTTTATGCCAGCAGGTTAGTCACTGATATAAACTTAAAAAAAATATTGCATCACAAAGAGGAAGTGCTTATTTAGAGGAAACATAAATCCTACAGGAGGTCAGAAAGCCTTAACTTTACAAGTTCACATAAATCTCCATCTTTGCAGTTCAGAGCAGGTGTGCTCAGCTTTAATTAATGCTTTGAGTTCTGGTTTCAATAAAATGTTATCATATGTTCTTTTTATTCCATATATATACACTTCCAAGTTTATAAATGGTTTGGGAACACAGATTGGGCATCAGGCAGATCAAGAGAAAAGACATCTACATGCTTAGTCTTTTTTAAGGCTATCTAAACTTCCAGTTTGAAAATTTTATATATAACAGAAAAGAGAGAAATGAAGGAGAAAGCAAAGCCTCATAGCATTTTCCTCACCTGTTATATGTAATTATACATTAATTAGCCCTTTGTAAGCAATGGCTTATTTGGAGGGAAGGATGATTTGCTGGTTATTGTTTGTTTGTTTGAGAGGAGAGAAAGCAAGGGAATGAAAGTCCATATGTAAAAACTGTCTTAATTTAAACATTATTTATTTAGTGGTTCCTTTGTGCCAGGTAATGTTAAAAGCATTGAAGATATCCTAGGTAGTTTTAACCCTCACAGTGCTTATGATCCAAAAGGGGAACAGAGACAAGTACACAGGCAACTATTATAGAGTGTGATAAATGGATAAGTGCTATGCTATGGCAGCAGATCTAACCCAGATTTAGAGAGCATAGGACAGCTAAACTGAGACAAAAGGATTTGTAGATGTTAGTCAAGAAGTACTGATAGCATGAGAACACTGATAATATCAGATAGGCATGTATCAGGTAGAGGCCACATCATGTGGAAATATATAGGGTAAGAGTGATCATGGCTTATTGGAAGAACTAAAATAAACCTAATTTAAATGAAACAGAGTAATTTGGATGACAGGGTAGAAGACTAGCTGCTTGTAAACCATGTTGAGTAATTTGGGCTTTATCCTGATAGCAGTGTAAAAAAACCATTGCAAACTTTTAGGAAGGAGGGTAACATAATCATATTTTAGAATTATAACCCTGGCTCTATTATAAAATCTAGATTTGAGGGCAACAGTATTAGCAGTAGGGAGATAATTTGGTTTAATGAAGTGGCAGTGAAAATGAGAAGAATTAACTGGTAAATTTAAGGTCCATCTCAGACAGAATCAGTAGGACTTGATTATTGATTGGGTGTGAGGACTGGGGACACAAAGAGTCAAGGATCATATTCAGGTCTCTGACTTGATGTGAATCATGGGAATAAGTAATAGAGATGGAAAACTAGGTGTAGGGGAAAGCAGAAATGTTGAGTATGAGGAATCTGTGGACATACTGATGGAGTTATTTAAAATTTAGTTACAAACAATACCTCTGAAGGGAGATCTGGACTTGAGGTGGTCCATTTGAGAGTCATTAGGATGTAATTAATTTTGAAGCCATGGGAGTAGAGGAGAATATCCAGGGAACAGTGCAGGTAGAAAGATAAGGAAGAATATGACAGATTCTGATAGGCACACACATGTGAGGGATGGCAGAGGAACAGATGTCCACTGAAGAGAGTGAGTAGTCACCAGACGGATGGGAGGAACACTAGAAAGCGAGGCAACTGCAAAAACAAGGAAGAGAATATTTCATGGAAGGAGCGGCCGTGGTGTCAGATGCTGCTGAGAGGGTGGGACAAAGATAAGAAGTAGCCAGTAGATTTAGCATGAAAGAAGTTGAATAAAACTTTGGAAAAAGCAGTTTAAAATAAGAAGAGGTTGAAGGGTCTATGAGAAGTAAAAAAGTCTGGCTATGGGAAAAGAGATAACCTGGTATCTGTGATGGCTCGAGGTCAAGGAATTAATTTCTTTTTTTAATGGAAGGATTGGTGAAACTTTTTTTGGGGGGCATTATTTTCTGGCCCTTCAATGGTGTGAATATCTAAGGGAAAAGAAGATAAAGAAAACTTGAACTTTTGGAATTAAATCTGGATGTCCCTGTGCTTTCAAAGTAAAAAAATAGCAAATATTTTGGCATAAAAACAGACACGTAGATCAATGGAATGGAATAGAGAGTCTAAAAATGAGCCCACACGTATATGATTAATTAATTTATGACAAAGAAGCCAAGAATATGCAATGAGAAAGGACAGTCTCTCCAATAAATGATGTTGGGAAAACTGGACAGCCACATGCCAAAGAATGAAACAGGACCCCTGTCTTACACCATACATAAAAAGGAACTCAAAATGAATTAACCACTTATAAGACCTGAAATGATAAAAGTCCTAGAAAAAAACATTGGTGGTAAGTTCCTTGACATGGTCTTAGTGATGATTTTTTAAAATTTGACATCAAAAGCAACAGCAACAAAACAAAAAATAAACAAATGGGGTTACATCAAATTAAAAAGCTTCTGTACAGCAAAGGAGACAAAAACCCAAACAATCCAATTAAAAAAATGGGCAGAGTATTTGAATAGATATTTTTCCAAAGGAGACATACAAGTGGTTAATAGACACATGAAAAGATGCTCATCATTACTAATCATGTGGAAAATGCAAACCAAAACCTCAGACCTGTTAAAATGGTTATTATCAAAATGATAAGAAATAACAAGTGTTGGCAAGGATGTGGAGAAAAGGGAACCATTGTGCATTGTTGGTGGGAATGTAAATTGGTGCAGGCACTATGGAAAACAGTATGCCCTATACAATTGAAGACAATAATTACTGCAACAAAAAGGTAGCCCTACTTATATATCCCATGTGGAACTTGTTAATTCATTAATACACTAAATGTCATATGTCTGAAACCTGTATAATGATGTCTAAGTCACCCAGAAAATCTGGAAGACAGAAACTATGAGTCAGAATGGAACTGAGAGAAGAGTATGGTGTGATAAAAGACCTATGAAATAGAAAAGGCTAGAGGTTTCAAGATGACAGAATGAAGACTCTTTCTTTTTCCATCACTCATTTATTCTTCTTTTCTCAAATAATCATCCCCAAACAGTAGGGAGATAAGAAAAGAAGGCACAGTTCCATCTTTGATATAATCAAAGAGACATAAATAACCCTAACCCACAAGACACAAAGATGGAAAGTAGGTGAAGGATGGTACATGACTTAGCAGACTGGAGAAAGGTCAGAGCCAAGTGCTTATGAAGGGAGGGCTTGCTCACAGCCCTCTGGAAAGGCTTAGGAATTAGAGGCACCAGTACCAGAAAAGGCAGGTGGGAATTTATTTGAAAATCTTTCTGAGGATCCATTAGACCCTCAGAGCCCACTGGTTAAGGAAGGAGACCATTTCCCTCCACCTTTGCAGGAGTCTCTGGAGAAATAACATGGGGGCTCTAAGTTTAAACAAAGGTAGGAGGAGAACAGAATTGAAAATCAGGGGATTATAGGATGTTCTGCATCTCAACAGTGACATTCATTCCCAACTCCCTTCCTCTGGTCAGCTCTGGACACTGGCCGCCTTACCAACCCACCAGGAATACTGGACGATCCTTCTGAGAGGAAACAGCCATCCTGGAGACAAAATGACATTTGGTGACCTCCTCCCACAAAAACTCTCCTGCTACTCTAAGACCCTGTTAGAAGCCCATTTGCAAAGTTTCTAATCAGCTTTTTAGTGACTCACTATTAAATATGATAGAACATTAAGAGATAATTATACTTTGGAAGAAAGCCTCCAACATGAAGCAAACAAACAGAGAAAACAGGGACAATGCTGAAAGCTGAAGAACGCTTCAAAGAAGCCTCGATGTCCTCAGAGATAAAAGAGAATGTTCTAGAAAGAATAGAATGTTATTTTAAAAAGATGAACAAACAATAAGAAAGCACTTTTGGGCATTAAAAATATGATAGCTAAAACAACATGTTCTGTAAAAGGATTGCAAGAACTCTCTGTTGAAATAGGAAATAAAAAGAGCTGGCCATAAGAGAAAGATAGGAAAATTTATAAATCAATTCCAGAAATTTGATATCTGACTAGTAAGGTGGAATAGAGAAAACTATCACTAGAAAATAATTAAAAAAAATATTTCTCCAAAATCAACAAATGACAAGTCCTGGCGAGGATGTGGAGAAAAAGGAACCCTCCTGCACTGCTGGTGGGAATGCAGACTGGTGTAGCCACTGTGGAAAACAGTATGGAGTTCCCTCAAAAAGTTAAAAATGGAACTCCCATTTGACCCAGTAATCCCACTTCTAGAACTATATCCCAAGAAACCAGAAACATAGGGATATATGCACCCCTATGTTCATAGCAGCACAATTCACCATAGCTAAGATTTGGAAACAGCCTAAGTGCCCATCAGCAGATGAGTGGATTAAAAAACTGTGGTACATCTACAAATGGAATACTATGCTGCTATAAAAAAGAAGGAACTTTTACCATTTGCAACAGCATGGATGGAACTGGAGAGCATTATGCTAAGCAAAATAAGCCAGTCAGGGAAAGATAAATATCACATGATCTCACTCATATGTGGAATATAATGATCAACATAAACTGATGAACAAAAATAAATCCAGAGACAAAGTAGCATTGAACAGATGGTCCAACCTCAGAGAGAAGGC